TTTTAGATTAATGCTAAATATGTTCCTTTTGTACACCGAAGTGCACATTTGTGCAGGTTGGATTTTGAATATATCATTAATGGATTCTAATTCAGTTGGTAAGAAATATTGTTGATGTCAAAAGATGCCCTGTGTTCAAGTTTCATTTGGTGTAGGTATTCAACATACATGTATACAGACTGAAGTATTTCCTGCCAAACATGAATTGTCTTATATAACCAGTGACCAGTTGTTGCAATAGGGTATGGTCGTCTTGATTTACAATGAACTCAGTACAGTAGGTGCTTTGTTTTTTCTTTAGTGTTTTAGAAATGACATTTGAAGAAGTTAAGAAGTTTGTGATCTGTTATTCCCAGGAAGTACTTTGCTGGAGACATGACCAATTTTGAAAAGAATATTTTAGGCCTTTTTTATGCAACAGTTGGTCAATGTCCTAGAATATGAACTGATCTGAATCACTGCTTCATTTCAGTTTGTTTGTTTGTTGTTTAATGCCGCACTCAGCAATATTCCAGCTATATGATGGCGGTCTGTAAATAATCAAGTCTGGACCAGACAATCCAGTGGTTGACAACATGAGCATCGATCCACCCAATTGGGATCAATCACATGCATCAACCAAGTCAGCGAGCCTGACCACACGATCCTGTTTGCCACCTCTTATGACAAGCAGAGTAGCTTTTTACAGCAAACATGGGTTGCTGAAGGCCTATTCTACCCCGGATCTTCATTTCAAGTCTACTTTACGGAGGCATGGTTAAAGGAATTACAGCCACTACACATTGTTGATTCATCTTGTATGCTGTCAATGTATATTGTATACCTTATTCTGTAACATGCACCATGTGCCATGTTTTCTCACTTGAAACATATAAATTGTTAAATTTTTGGTTCTTTCATACTTTCAACAATTCAGTAAGAATTATTTTGGGTAAATAATCCAAATCCACATTTATGTGACATATATAGGCATTTTCATCTACTAATATACATTTAATGTAAAAAAAGATATAATTGTAAGGCCACAAAAAAACTATAAGGCATTTCATCTTATGTGTGTCGGAGAGGAGTAATGTGTTGGGAGGTTGTTCAATGCAACTGTGTACATTAACAATGGACTGATGTGATTCACATCAAGCATGAGTGGTAAATGGTGTTTTTATCAAGTAAAGAAATAAGTAAACATGAATAGTGATTTTCTTTGTAGGTCCCTGGGGGTGATTAAATTATGTTTGGTAGTGAGTTGGACAGGGATGAAATCTCATGAGCACTTAATCGAATATTTTGGCCTTTGTCTCAATATACGGCTTTTCGTTCAGTAATAAAACAAAACAAAATTTCGCATAGTTTAACAATAAAATGTTGTATAGAAGCAAAGTGAGATAAGGGGAAATGGGGTTTCAAGTCACGTCAAAGATTATTGCACTTAACTGGCAACCTGAACGTGTGTGGCTACTTGTACTAGTCCTGACTCATGCTGAATTTATGGTGCTAGCCCACGAGATAATACCATGCTGCTGTTTAACATGAATACCCTACTCAGACAAAGTATACTGACTCTGAGCCGACCAGTCCTTGTTTTAACCCCTTAATACTGAGCGCTAAGCAGGGTAACAACATGTCTTGTAGTGTGTCGCAGGGGCCAGGGATCAAACTCCAAACCTTCCTCTCATTCCGGACGGCCACTCTTCCACTAGACCACGGAGGCGGTCCTGGAACCAAAGCCGTTAATGTATTTTGTTCTAATTACTGAAAGATGAAACTATGTTCATTTTCTTCCAAGCTTTGGGCTGCTATGCAGTTCCTGATATCCAGAAGACAGTAATGTTCGTGATTGCTTTTGATCCCTGCTGTAGATACCACTCTGCCTGGTCTCACTCCTTGTAATGACCAGTAAAGACGATACCCGTGAAGATTTGGGTGAGAATAGGTCTTTAGCAACCAATGCTTGTCGTAATATGCAACTAACTTGATCGGGTGGTCAGATTCGCTGACTTGGTTGATGCATGTCATTGTATCCTAATTCTGTGAATCAATGCTCATGATATCTATCACTGTATTGTCTGGTCCAGACTTGATTATTAATAATATCTTTATGCTCCAAAGTGACCATATCACTAGTTCTTCCTCAGGCATTGATGATAGCACATGGAGCCGTACAACCAATGTAAACAAAGGATAAATAAGCAAATGGAAATAGTTTTTCACATTTTAGGACATTTTCTCCATAAAACTTAGCCATTTTAGGACATGTTTTAAATGAGAACATTATATAAAAATGAAACCGATGAGAACATGTTTATTGTTGAATGGACTGTAAGATGTGACAAATCGGCACATTTCTCTGGCCTGTGGCGGAGGTACGAGGCTGACCGCAAGGTGTCAGAGGTCAGCATCACCAACCCTTGAGGTTTTCTGTGGTAAGGGACCATCTAAACATGTAGGTTGTGACAAGGACCCCTTGACTTACATACAAGGAAGTTATGGGTGACCCAGTAGTCAAGTTCACTGCAATTTGCTGTGCTGAGTTGCATCTCTTAGATATATGAGGAATCTATGATCGTGAGTTGGAATCCAAAATCATGTGATTATGTTTCTTGGGTGTCAACACCATGCTTGTTGGTTTCTCCAAAATGGTAAACATCCAAGACCTTAAGGCTTTCCTTCCTCATCAAGCTGGAATGCTGTGATATAACTAAAGAACTTGGTATTAATCCACAACACACTTGTGCGCACGATATATACACTTCTGAAATATTCTTAACTGAAACACTATTATGGTCCATCATTGAATCCGGGAAGGGGAAGTTGGAGATTTTCAAATCCTAGATCTGCTTGATCTGCCTGGAATTGGTTTTGATTAGACATATGTCTTATATATAGAATACTAAACGAGCTCCCGCGTAATACCAATTTTATGAAACGAGTGAATAGTTGTGGTATCTGACAAGCGAAAGCGAGTTAGATACCACAACTATTCATGGGTTTCATAAAATTGGTTTTACATGGGAGCGAGTTTAGTATTTTATTTATTACTTGCCATTTATAACGTTTTTAGAATTATACTGTTGAGTATGAATAGGCTGACACCTACACGATCCACGGCATAGTCCAATTGAGTTTAACAGAATAATACTTCAAACACGTCAAAAGTTGAAACGTATGAATTTAATACCATACAACGGTCCACCTTTAGAATTCACAAAATTATTGTATGGCCAAGACTATCGCAACTAACAATCTTTAACAGACTAACGACTGTCGTTGCGCTACAATACGATCGCCCTGTGGAACGGGCCTTGAACCTCAAAGTTTACAATAACGTCACAATACCCGATGACGTAATTTGTGGAATTTTGTTGCAAGATCTATCGGCGAAACAATGCCATTGGACGTCAGCCTAGCAACAAGGTTGCTGGGGTCATCAAGTGTGCATAAGCTCCTCTCAGTGATCTATCAACTCCACACGCAATGTCGTTGAATAAGCCAAGGGATGTTGAGAGCTTTCAATATTTGTTCGTGAAACGTGTTCCGAGAGTACAAAAGTACGCGTTTTGGTATTACACAATGTGTAATACAGCTGTATGTTTATCAAACGGGTGATCTCCTCACAGGCAAGTAATAAAAAGGGATATGTTATGAGAACAGTCATGTTTGGTATGGTGGTTCAGTTGGCTTAACCTCCAGGTAATGCATCTAGAACATACATTGAATTTGAAGGTAACATTGTCAAATGAACAGAGTCAGCCAACAATGACAAAATAGACCAATATTGTAACAGACAATTATTATTAATTGAGCCAAATTTCTTTATACCAATACTGGAAGGTTGATGCCCTTCAGTTTCCTTCTTACAGTTTACAAGGAAGGCAAAATTAATATGTTCAGATAAATATTCATTTGGATGATTCTTGTCATTATTCCTTTGAATATTACATTGATTCCTTACATCTAGCAGACCATAAAACTTTACCGATCTATATTTTATATAGCATTTTAGGATCCTAACATACACACTTTCCTCATTGATGTCCGAAGTTATCAGTAGATATGACAAAAAGACATTGCAATCATGTGACTACTGTTATTACAATGCACAGAAATCAAATGTTTCTAATATTTGTAAATAAAAGAACTTGGGTGAAACTTTTCTTTGTAAATGGTATTTATTTCTTTGCTAATCAATTTAAATATTTATGCACTGGAATTATTATTTTTCAGTTACTTTGGAATTTTAATTCCTACAAATTGCTTAAAAATGGCTGTGAATGTCATTTCATTACACTTCAGTCAGTTCCTTTTAATTCAATACCTTATCCGTTGAATAACAATAGCACTTACCAGTAAGGAAGAGAATTTATGGATGGGAAACTTCTTTATTATGAGGAACACAATGTTTCTGAGTATATAAATTCTCTTCCTTATGTGTGTCACTTCTAAATGCCTTTTGAAGACTTCACTTACCAGTAGTTCAGACAACAGCACTAATAATAATATGCAGTAAGTAGTTGTATCCTCAGAAATTAGTTGTGGGTTTGTTTGATACAACTACCCTACCGTTCAACAGGAATAATAGCAAGAACATTATGAAAGTATGACTATGTCCACTTATTGTTCCATCCAAATTTGTCAAGATAGAATTTCCTATCATGCATACGAAACGGGTGTGGAGCATGTATTAAACACTACGCCTATTTTTATTTAATCGACATAATGTTTATTAATTTCAAGTAAAAACAAAGATCACATGAAACATTGAACCCTGAGAATTGCGCCTTTCTTTTTTTAAAAAAAAAAACCCACTGACTTGGTTTTGTTGCAATATATTGCGACAAATCATTTTATTCTAACCTCGGGGCTTTTTTCATCAAACTATCCGATTCATGTGCAGTTTGTAGATCCTTCACAAGCTATGTCACTGAAAGTATCAAACACTTGTTCGCCATTCTTCTGGGTCTGTCGAAAACTGGTTGTGTTTATCGGTGGATGTTTCATTTCAGAAGAAAAGAAACACCGTGAAGAAAGTACAACAGCTGACGAATCTTCAGCAGACGAAACCCATTTGGCAGGTAAACCGGAAGTAATCTCTCCGGATGTGACGTCGAAAGAGGTCAAGGCCGTTGGGAACGCACCTGCCGCGTCTGAGACAGCCATGGGCAGAAAGCGGAGTTTATCAAAATCTTCAGACAAAAGTAAGCATATAAAGCTTTTAGTACATTTGACTGGCTAGCAACAAGTAGTAAATGGCTTGTTCATGTTGTATCTTCGTTCTTTGAAGAAGTCGGCTTGTGCCTGTGTTCGGCTTGCTTGTGTCACGTGTTTATGTGCTAGACAATAACTGGAGCCCCCTTCGTGCATAATGGCCGATCGCTATTTGCCCGTCAAAGTTGTCAGTCACGCACGTGACAGTAAGCACACTTCCAGAGGCACATTTATGCACTTATTACATTTGAGAACCGAGTACTGGTTATGCTTAGGTCGTATTGTCTTTGATGTTCAGTGTTTTATTTTCACAATTTGCCTTTGTGAAATTGTGCGAACGTTGCATGTCTGAGAATTTGGAAGAATGTTCGTCATCCATCCGTCCATTTTCGTATGGCAAACACTTGACTTCAGATTGTTTAATAATCAGTGCATATTCATCGAGCATCTATTGCAAAACTCAATTATGTAAATATGGAAATTAATTATAATTTTGGGAATTAGTTTTAGTGACGTGAATATAGGTTTATCAAGAAATCATTCAAAAACTACAATCACTAGACCATTTTGATTAGTCTCAGCTATGACGGTTAAACTGGATTAGTAAAATCATAATATCATCTGGTTCTTTTGCCCCAGCTTCGTTATTGATATATAAAACATTTCATATTGCTGAAACGAAATGGATGTATTAAGCACCCAAATAAAAACTTGTCCAGTTTGTGACATATTTCTCAGTTTCATGTTACTTTGAAAAGAGACAGAAAAAACATAAAATGTTCACTTCAAAGTCATTGTAGTTTTATATGAAATGTCTGAAGAAGTGAAGGAAATATATTGTTCCAACAAGATCATGGAAGCTTTGCAAAATATATTTTAACTTGTTATGCTGTTTTTCACTCTTTAGAATGATATTTTTACAAGAAAAAACAGGGCAGTACGAACAAAGTAGTCTACTGGAAGTGGGTAATACTTCCCTGCTTCCCTGTAAAGCAATAAAAAGTATTAAATACACATAATTCATCTTAATAAATGTTAATGATTAGAATGTCATCAAGTTACTTCACAATTTGTTTTGCAGATGAAAAGGCACTTAAGGTACAGAAAGATGCAGATTCCAATGGAAAGAATGCTGACATGAAAAAGGCGAGAAAATCTCGATCGAGGTCCAGGTCAGGATCTGAAGAAAGATCAAGATCGCGATCCAGATCGTTATCTTCTAGGTAAAATGATTTGAAAACTCATTCTCTGGAATCATTTAAGTACTGAAAGCATGCTACAAATCATTAAGTAAAGGATTGATTTATAATCTTCACAAAATGTAAAACCTATGTTCCGACCATTGATTTGCCCTGTATTTAATATGCTTTAGACATTTGAGCCTCTTACAGGACAGTTTAAACAGATGTTTTGGAATACAAAATTTACAATCAACCACTTGTTTCTGTTTTCACCTATTATCACCTTGATCAAAACCTTAACTGTCACATGTTAGGCTAATGGATGTAAGGACTAAAGTTGCTTATTTGGGTTTTGAGTGTTGAGAGGAAAGAAAAGCCTTGATTTATGATTTGTATCATGCATTGAAATAACAGTGAACCAGTCAAAGCAGTGGAGATTTTCCACCTTGTTTAATTAAGACCTGGTGCATTTTATTTGTGTATTTCAAACTCTAGATAAAATGTACAGCATAACCTTGTGAATATCAGATTGGTGGTGTTTTTGCAGATCATATCTTATGTGGTCTTGACATTTGGGACAGGGTTAAATAGTGAAATTCTAAACTTTTAAAATTATTGGATTTGTTCTTTTAGATATTCATGTGCATGTTATCTGCACACTCTGGAAATACAAATCAATTTGCAACAGTATTGTTGACGAAAGCTGGTCAAGAAATGAATCAAACTACCTTTGACTAAGTTTCAGTCAAAGCTCTTGACCCGAGTGAACTTCTTTACTTCTGGTCATAGTCATTTGAAATATTTGTTCACATAACACCTGTAAAAGATCAGTTATGACATTGCTTGTGTTTAAACCTGGTTATGCTGTATATTTTCTAGAGTTACAATTAAAGCAAACGTAAGTGGCTTATGGGTGCAGAATGGGTTGGATTCAAGTTTCTGCTTATGGCTACAAATGGTAGTTGCAAACATTCTTGTATTTGACATGATATGTAACCCATATAGGTTAATTTGATGGTTTCAACGAAACAAAGATAGCTTTAATGTGCTAAAGAATTAGGTTTGGTGTTATTGGTCCGTTCAGACAGGGTGCAAAACATAGATTGGATTATAACTGATATACAGTTGCAATAATTGGTTGTTCAATCACTTGTTCATTCAAACAATGCTTCTTTGTGTTATAATTGTGAATCGCAAAATGAACTGATTTTCCTGGCATGTGTGGAATTTAATATATGCCCTGATTTCAGTTGTTGTCCAGTTGGCTTACATACTTAATCATCACATGTAACTGAAACTATTGTTTCATTTTCAAGTGACATTGTGAAAACTTGACATGTACATTTAGAACATTCATAGCTTTTCATGGCTTATTTTAAAAGTGCATATAGAAAGGATTTTAGGGGCCAATCCACAAAGCCATCTTGGTGCTATGATGACTAAATTTTGTACTTGAGCATAGATTTATGATAGTCTTAATGCTGAGATTACTTTGTTGAATGGGGCCCAGGAAGAATGTTACCAAATGAAATGCCAAATCCAATTTTATTTTGATTACATTTAATAGATGCTTCCATTTATGTGTTACCATGTTACTTTTTCACGTGTTTACTAGTCTGTTATTGATGTTTTTATCATTTAATGGTTCCAAATGTTCAAGGTACTTTGATGTTTGGTAACAACTTAGTTTGGTTGTAAGCGTGTTGAACAATCTTATTTCATTATTGTTCTTAGAAATAGTTCTGCTGCAGTTAGAAAGCAATTTGAATAATTCTTGAAAACTTTCTTTGAAAGTGTGCCAATGTCCTCTTTCATGGACTATACATTTCGGCCAGTGTTTCTTGATAAAGACAGTCCATTTTGTTCCATTTTGTTCCATGGGTCTGTTGAGAAACCTTTTTGAACAAACATGGAGAAGAACATTGGGTTATGATAATAACTTTCTGCCAGCTGCTTCATGGTAATTGTATTTATTTGACAGGACTCTGTTGTGCATTGCAGTTTTGTTTACATCTTGTGAATATTGTCATATGGTCAGAAATAGTTGGTTTGACTAATTAGCAGTGTTTCATTCGTTTATTAATTAAACAAGAACAAGAGAAAGACTGTCAGGGGTTCCTGACTAGATTCAGTCCTTTATTTGTTTCTCCGATTTTCCATGAATGGCTCATTGGTCACACTGACTATCTTTGACAAACCAAATCATTGATATAAATATTTGATCATACATTGTGTAAGATATTCATCCTTGAAAACTGGACCCAGTTGCTTGAAATCAGCAGTCATTGTACATGGCCCATTTGCCTTCTTGCATCACTTGTAGCTGACATTGTAATCTTCACTTTCACCTGAAGGCATTTCGCTGTTTGTCCTCATGTACTAGATATGTAGTCAGCCATCTTAGTATCATCATTGTCATAAATTTGGAATTCACAGAATAAATTTATTCAATGCTATATTTGGACTGTTTGTTTTCCTTTCACTATTGGAAGTGAATCCAGTCAGCACAACTTTCTCTTGTTCTTGTTGAGGTGTAGTGGCTTGCTTGATAGGTGGTTAAACTTGCAAAATTGTCTCATAATGGTGTTAAATTGTGGCTCATAGCATCTTATTCAAAATCATGCCTAAGCATCAAAGTAATATCAATAAATCCAAGAATTTTATTTCCAAGTCAAAGTTTCCATTTATTTCGAGCACAAATATATTAGATTCTCCTTTTTAATTGTTACTTCCAAGTGTTTTGAAATACAATTAGTACTTGCCATTCACAAACTGAATAATGTTCCCTGGATATAAGCTTTGTGATTGCATTCAGCTGAGACAATTGTCAAGTTTGTCACACCTCAAGTGTAAGTGGCAACACCTCGGTGAGTTGGCAGTCAAGACATCAGGTTTTTATTGACTGGCATCACCATGTCGAGGATGTACCATGGCATCCAGCCAGAATGTTTCCATTGTGTGGAGATGTTCCTTTGTGGATAAGGTCAGTTAGACATCACCACAGATTTACTTGTCCAAGACTTATGAAACTTTACAGGGCCTAGTTTTGGACAGTTGCCCTATTATCCTACAGGTATATAAGTTTGGACCCCTTGTTGCTCTGGGGTAGCTCCAAATTTCTCAAAATTGAAAATATGCAACCCTCATGCCCCCTGGTTCCCTTACCTTTTGGACACACCCTCCCTGGCAATGTAACTAAATACGCATATTGTCGGAAAGCGCATGTTAAATCTCCAATAGTAAGTAGCTCTGGGGATAAAATTTGGACATTTGCCTGACCATAGGGGTGTTTAAAATGAGATTTGGTTTGTAGTGCAGGGATTCCTCATTGAAAACACAGCTGAAGGAAATGCAAAACTTGCAGGCTATTAACACGTATGATGTAACAACTTTGGTTACATTGCAATTATGAGCTATAATGAAGTCGTCATCGGTAATTTAAGAAATGTTCTTTTCGGTCAGCAGTGAGGTTTTGCTTTGCTATTGTTTTTATGACTCCAAAATATAGAATTGTCTTTCAACATACTTTTTTTTATCGTTTGGTGATATTCAAGAAGGCCTCCCATTAAGATCATGTGTCTGCTAGCTAAGAACTCTACAGTGGAACACAGGTGATGATTGGACAAGGATGGTGATATGTCATTGTTTTGGCCAATCACAGAAAGTGAATGAAGGACACACTCCAGAATGAACATTGAAAATGCTGTAGTCAAGGTAACTGCAGTATCTCGCCCTTGCGTTGTTAACCCCTGCCACAGTGTTCAGGTTACATGTGGTGAGGGTTGATTGCACCATGTCATAACCATGTCTTGAAATTTGTTGACAGCACATGTGATTGGGCTGAATGTCTTCACTACATTTTTGTATGATTTTTTTGTAATTTCATATCCCAAGTGTGATACGTTTTTTGCAGCATTTTGTAAGAATCTACACTAATGCCAAACTCTTGGGCCTTCACAGAACACTGCAATCGTTTTGCCCAATATTGCGAAAAGAATTGTAAGAGTTCTCTCACTTTGCCAGCTTCATTGCTGCCATGGCTTGATGGCCACTTGGACATGAGAAATACCTTGGTTGTGACTTCCCCTAACACACATATAATGTTAAAGTCTTTTTATCGCCTGCACTTGTATATGACAGATATTGGGGATGTGATATTAAATCACATGCACACGTACATAATACAAAAAATGTTCAAATTACATATTTGATGAGAGACAGGTGGCAGTGTGACAAACTTGTTGAGTTGTTAAAGTGATAAAACTACTTTGGCTGTGACAGAACGTGTATTACAAATGTATGTGATAGCATACATGAAGACTTGAACACTACAGCTGTAGTTCGTTATCTAAGGCTATGGTTTGACTATTGAAATGAGAATTGACTTGAAAACATTTGTCAACACTTTGAAAATAACAGGTCTTGCTTTTATGATACTTAAAGCATTCTCTGGTTTTCTTTACCAAGATGTTTATGGGCACATTATAGTTTGACAATATGTGTCTGACAATATGAGTCTATACCTGGCTTTTAGATGGGTGGACGAACTGCTTGACAGATCGTACTTGCATGAAACATTAAAAATAATTGCACATGTCAACCATTACTTGTAGAAATTTAATAGGTGCCAGCTTGCACATAAAGAATTCAAATTCAGACTAAAACATGTTAAGGCTGCTGGATATTTTCTGTCATAATAAGCACCAGTTGGTATATACTGAGACTTCAAATTTAGCTACTAGTCCGAACCCTGAGTCTTGTAATAATATTTCAGGTCAAGTAAGATCTGCTCTCTATTGCACGTACTAAGACATCAAAAATCTACTGAAAATTATGCCACAATACAAATTTGGACTGATCACAATTTCATTAAAATCAGATCTAAGTTTTCGCTGCCGCTAAACAAAGATCTGAGGACATCCCCTTACTGGTCACGTCAGAACGACCTTTCGCAAACTTTGACCGACTACTGAAACGAATAACAAGAAGTCAATATCAGCCAATGAGAAAGCAGCTTTTCTCCTGGCTTTATGGCACTTGTT